TGATGTGAGAGCCTGGTCCGGTGAGAACCCGGCGTGCTCCGTCCCGGCTTTGTAGGGATGCGAGGTCAAGGGTCTAACGACTACGGCATGCACGACTATGAGTTCACCCCCCCCCCCCCCCCTCTGCTGCTCGTCCCATTACCTCCTTTACGTGAGTACGGTGTTGTGGCCCTGAACCAGACGTCCGAGCGGGCGTCGAAGAGGGTTCGCAGGAGCACCGCTGCCATGGCCCTTAGCCCTTCGCCCCCCCCTCCCCAAGTGGCGGCCTCCCCGTCGCCGCCCCCCCGGCCGAGCATCTCGCACACGATCTCCAGAACCTTGGTGGAGAAGACGACAGCAGCGCCAATGGTAGCCCAGAATCATTGTGCTGGAATAGAGGTTTTAGTAAAAACGTACCAGGTGTTTCTGGGCAAGAGGGTAACTACTGCGGTCTTTTCTCTTCGGAGGTGGTAGACCCGCAGTATTTAACAATAGACCAGATGCCCGTTCGAGGCAACTCCCGGAGGAGATTTTTTTTTTTTCTCTTTTTCCCCACTCTGGGAAATGGAATGGTGACACTGGTGGTAGGAGGACCTGCTGAACAGGCAAGGAGTAAGATGTTGTAGCCTCCTTTGCCTCTTGGCCGACGAAGTCTCTCGTAGCTGATTGTATGCATATTCAAAGTACAACATTATGTGTGGTCTTCCCCCTCCGTGACTGACCCCGGCTGGTGCGTCCAGAAATTGTACCGAAAGGCGAAAGGACCGACGACGTCCAGGATACTTGGGATGACATCAAAAAAATCTTGTTTTCCCCCTCGCCAGTGTATGGGGGCTCGCGAACAACGCCCGTCCGGTGCTGTGTGATCGGTTCGCCCGTTTGTCAGAAGACGCTTGACTATATGCCCATGAACCACACATACGACAGATGAGATCCCTACAGATCGAGCTAGCTTGCCAAGGGTGTGTCTCATGTGATCGGTAGGGCATATTTAGGCGATGAGTGTATGTTTGCTCCATGGTGATCTGAAGGACATGGGAGATCTGCGTATGTCTGCTCCAGAGTAACTTCAACGACATAGGTGACAGATAGGTGTATGTTTACCCGACGTGATCTGACAGACACATGTGATCGGGGTATGTTTGCCCAAGGTGATCTGAAAGCAGAGGTGATGTGAAAGATATGGGTCATCGGTGTGCCGCATACAACACAAGATAACAACCCCCACAGAATAATACAACACCCGGTTGCTAATAATCTTGGGCCTGAAGCGAGGAGCTGAAATACAACCCGGGTTAGAAAAAGATGGTACCTGGGGTTAGGTCGCATGTAATCACGAAGCTCTGCTACATGCACCCCGGCCATGACATACCAGCAGTGGTCCCTGATCACGCACAGGATGACCTAGCAGGGAACACACGGAAATCGCCGTGAGTGCTGGGGGGTAACCGCCCCGTACGGAGACCCCCAACAACACGAACGTGCACGGAGAACAGAATCCCCCTGCAGCTACTTCAGCTTCCTCGGCTACTGTTTCGACCGTAGCAGTGCTGGCTTCGACCGACCACCTCTTGCTTTCAACCCGAGCAAATTTCTTCTACACTCGCGGCTCAGGGGGGTTATCACCCCCGTCCCCCCCCAAATTTACCCCGGACTCCCACTACCCT